TAAAATACTTAGGAATTAACTAAGGAGGCAAATGACTAGTACAATGAAAACTACAAAATATTGCTGAAAGAAATTAAGACAAATAAATGGAAACACGTCCCATGTTTATGGAGTGGAAGACTTAATATTGTTAAAATGTCAAAGTGATCTACAGATTCTAACCCCTATCAAAATTCCAGTGACTTTTTTTTTTTTGCAGAAATAGAAAAACTCATCCTAAAATTCATATGGAATCTGAAGGGACCCTAAATAACCAAAACAATCTTGAAAAAGAACAAAACTGGAGAATTCAACCCATGTCTACGGACGGATGAATGGATAAACAAAATGTGGTCCGTCCATACACCAGAATATCATTCAGCCTTAAAAAGGAAGAAATTCTGACACCTGCTACAACATGGATGAACCTTGAGGATATTATTCTCAGTGAAATAAGCCAGACACAAAAGAACACATACTATATGAGTCCACTTATATGAGGTCCTTAGAGTAGCCAAAATCATAGAGACAGAATGTAGAATAACAGTCGCCAGGAGCTAGGGGAGAAACGGGTGGGGAGTTAGTGTTTCATAAGTATAGAGTTTTAGTTTTACAAGATGAAAAGAGTTTTGGAGAAGGATGGTGGTGATGGTTGCACGACAATGTGAATATACTTAATACCACTGAACTGAACACTTACAAATGGTTAAAGTGGTAAATCTTATGTGTGTTTTACCACAATAAAAAAAAATGAAAAAATTTAAAAAATTTAAATGCATTTTTAAAATACCATCCACAATCCAAATTTGGGAACTTATTCTTTAAAATTTTTTCCCCTCATCTGACATGTTTTGTCTTTTAGAATTTTTCTCCCTCATAGTTTTTCCATGCTCATCTCTGAATTTATCATGCTCAGCATCAGGCTTCAGACACCCATTTATGATGGTCTTATTATTATTCTTATTTTTTAAGATTTTATTGGGGAATTGGGGGAGGGGAACAGACAAGTTGCTGTCTGTCTTTTGGTTCTTCTGTCTAGTTGTGGAGGATGTCACTTCACTGGCCCATGTTGGTATTGTGATCATTGCGCTCCTCCCAGCTGAGGCAGATCGGTCACCGGCCATCCGTCGGCTGCTCACGGCGGCTCATGGCAACTCACGCCGCTGGCTGCTCACACTGGCTGCCGCCACTCATGGTAGCTTACAGCAGTCCACTGCAGCCCCACTGCAGCCTATGCCATCGCTGGTGACTCACGGCAGCCCCAGCTCCAGGTCGATCTGTTGTTCACCATTTTAGCTGTAGAGGGCAGTGTCACTGGCCCATGTGGGATCTGAACTAGCGGCCCTGTTGCTCAGAGCTCGCGCTCCCAAGCCAACTCTTTACCAAGGAGCCACTTGGCTGTTCTTATGCTGGTCTTATATATACAGCTGGTCATTGTATCATTGTAGAAGCAGGAAGAATATTATATGTTCTTTATATTTTATTAGATATTGAGTTTATTAGATTTAAATATTGGGTTGTTGGAAAATTCATGACGTATTTTTTTCTATGGTTTTCATTGCAAAAATGCGTCATTACTTTTCCGACAACCCAATATAACCCTGCTCTGTCATTTTGGAGAGCGAGGCACCTTCTTCAAGGCCACAACATTAGATGGATTCAAAGTTTGCACAGACTCCACAGTTCCCAACTCCCTGCTCAGAATTCTCTCTACTTTGCCATACCTTGCATTTACTCTTGAATTTAAAATCTGGAATGGAAATAGTCTTTATTTTGATGAAAAAAGTAGTTAAAATGTCTTGGTTTTGGTTATTGTTATTTAAAACGGGATGGCAGAAATAGCTGGCTAAAAATATTTAAAACTATTTCCTATTAGAGCTGATTATATTTGATTTAATTAGGTTTGGTAACAAAATAACCACAAATATCCACCAAACTACAACTTTTAATATATATATATATGTAAAGTCTGCTCATGTCTGCTACATCTGAATTGCAAAACAGCATACCTTGGAGTTAAAAAAAAGAAATTTTCTGTATTTATTTTTGCTTTTAACCAAAAAACAGTTTCATTTTACTCAGACCCACTGTGTCACTGTTAGAACACTTCCCTGTGATGTCTCAGCTCTAGCTTTGGTATGATAACAGCTTGCTGAGGCTCATGGTGTTGAAGGGGAAGAGGGAAGTACGTTTTTTGGGGCCCTTGCCAGGGGCCTAAAACATGCAGTCTTAAACTACGTATAAAACCCTAGGAGATAGGGAACACAGCTCCCACTTTGCAAATAAGGAAACAGACTCAGAAAGATTAAACTACTTGCCCAGAGTCAGATCAACCTGATTTTAAGGCCCATCTGTCTACCCCATTTCCTCACAAAAATCCATTATGTATGTAAATATTTTATGATTGTTGTTAACAGGAAATGTCCAGATTTTCCAGTCAGGCCTGAGCATGTTCTGAAGCTTAATTTAATATTAAAAGCATGTAGGTGCTTAGGAATAGAGAGGGAACTTTGAAGGAAAAATAAATTTCAGGTTTCAATCTTGAGGTAGTAGACTTTCATACAAAATGTTCGCATGGCTTTTGTTTTTTAAGAAATGGAACAGGAATGTTTTCCAGCGAAAACAAAAACAGGAAATTACATTAACACATGTCCTCTGAGAACTCAGCTGGGAGATAGACGAGTTCTGTTCTTTGTCAGTCCCTCAAGATGCCACTTCCAAGTTCAGTGTCGCATCTACTCTGGCAAATTGATAACATTCTTTAAATAATTACATGTAGCCTTGATCTCTTTCATTTATTCTGGAGGTCATCGCTTAAGTTCTAGAAGAGATCACAGTCATCTGCTTGTGTTTACGCTGGGACGGCGGGGTTCGCCTCACAGAATCCCCAGGGGCAGGTGAGGCCGGGGTCAGTGGCCGTGGTGGAATTTGATCTGAGCCAGAATCCCGGATGCTTTAGTATCTTCCTGAGGCTTAAGGTCAATAAAGCTGCAGTGAGGTAATTCCCTCAGAAGATTTGACCAATTTTCCAGGTCTCCCTACAGAAAACCTTGTTTAGTATATTCAAAACTCCTTAGTCTCCGATCAGGGAATAGAATGTCTTACAACATTCCATTTCCTGAGTGAAACTGAACCCTGCGCCAATTTAAAAATCGGTAACTTTTGAACCTGCTCTCTCTAGATTTTACAATGTGTCAGAATCTATCTGATTGCAATCTCTCTTTTGCTTACAATTTGGGGCTATTAAAAACATGTGCATGAATGTGTTGTCTTGGAGGCATCATAATATTAACAGCAACAAGTATTGAGCTTTAAATACATTTTCCATTTAACTGACAAAATAGCTTTGTGAGGTCACGATTAACACCGAGGTATGGGGAGGCTGCATAGTTGCAAACATATCTCAAGAGAATGAATGAGAGCTGGAGTCAGAGCCAGTCAGTCCACTTCCAAAGCCCTCACCTGACAGGTGCCTGGTCAGAGCTTCAGAGCGAGGGCCCCAGACTCCGGCAGCAATTTGGGGACACTTAATAGGCCATTAAACCTTCCTTTTCTGACTCACATGCTGGTTTACACTTGAGTCCAAAGTGGCTGTGGGGAACAGAAAAGTGATCTGAGCTGGGAATGGTGTCACCGACCATTTAAATATCTCCATGTGCATATCTGATTATTCCTGGACATGTAAGCTTCCTATGCCTCAGATATTATTTCAGGATTCAGAATGGTTGAGGGTATCCTTTGGTGATGCACTATGGAAGACAACTGAGAGCAGCTAATGTTTTTTTGTTTTGTTTGTAGGACCCGATATTTGTGGATTTGATATCAAGCAAGTTCATGTTATTTTACATTTCAAGAATCAGTATCACTCAAACAAGAAACCTATCAGGTGTAAGGTAAATGCTTTTGTATTCAAATCAGTGATTGTGTTAACTTGCCGGATGATGGATGATGATGTCAGTTTAGAGAAAATAGTTTTGATCTTAAAGTATTTAAATGAGCCAGGGATGGGCCTTAGCAAACACATCCCCTGTCCCTGCTTGCCAGTTTAGCAGGCCCATTAGAGACACTTGTCCACTATTTCGGTTTGGTTTCTGAAGTTTTCCCCATCAGGAGGGCACACTCAATTTTTTTTTTTNACCATCGGAAAACAAAAAGATATTTACATTACGATTCATAACAGTAGCAAAATTACAGTTATAGAGTAGCAACGAAAATAATTTTATGGTTGGGAGTCACCACAGCATGAGGAACTGTATTAAGGGGTCGCGTCATCAGGAAGGTTGAGAACTGCTGCTCTATAGTATTTCCTGGAGATTTGGTAGAAATGCAAAAATCTTAGGCCCCACCCAACTCTATAAATCAAAATCAGAAATCCAGTCTGTGTTTAACAAGAAATATGGGTGGTTCCAGGGCAAAACCCACTACCCCACCCACTCCCATCCCTGCTCTAGGCTGTGAACAAGGGTAGAGCATATGTCTGCTTGGTCCAACATTGGAGCACCTATGCTGAGGTGCTGCTCAAGGAGCATTTGATGGGTGAATGGTTGTTGAATGAGTCACAAAGCACGTTGTGCTTATCTGAATGGCATGAGGCACATCAAGTCATTGAAGACACTGGAGCAGCAGTTCCTGAGACTCCAGAACAGATCAGGTATACAGCAAGCTGTGCCCCATCCCTGAGATTGCATGGCATTCTAGCTTGCCTGTCTGAGAAAAGGTAGCCAGCCACCATCATAGGGGACCATGTAAGGGGAAGTCCACCAGCCCTGAAGAAACCTTGGGCCACTATGGTCAGCTGCCTGGCTGGTTCTTCCTTCCTCACCCTGTTAGTGGAAACTGGCCACAGAAGAGTGGATGTCCATAGCCAAAGGAAGGCAAAATGTGTTGTTAAACAAAAGTTTTAACTCCCACAGCTGAAAGTCTTTTTAAAAGAAAAGGTTTACTGGGCCATCACTAGCAAGAAAAAAAAGAGTGGGTCCTGGTACATGAAGTCTAAACCACCAGCATGAGTGCCAGGTGGAAAAGGCAACATGTCAGCTGTGTTNGGCATGTGGGCATATGGAGGGGAAGTACGCTCCCCAGTGTCCCCCCACCTCATTTGAATGTAAGTGCCAGAAAGCAAGGACCTGTCCCCTGAGGCATCCCCCAGGGCCAGGAGTTCCTATGAATCTGGGAAGGAGGCCCAAGTGTGTTTCAAGATCATTGACAGCGTGGAGGGGAAGCATCTATATCTGTCCCTTATTCAGTCTCAACCCCAGCAGCCAGGCACCAGGCCTCTTCACAAAGCCCCGGTGAGTCTCCATGTCAGCACAGTCCCTCTTGGGGTCCCACCCACTGATGTGACGGTTCTAAGAGATCAGCATTCCCCCCACTCAGCTCGGCCTGACACCCCTCCCATGGAGCAAAGGGGAGCTCACATTCCAAGTCTTCCTCCTCCACTTAGTGTTTGGACCAAAGCACAGGTCTTTATCTTTATGATTGATTCTCAAGAAATTGTTCAGTTGCACATCAGGAGTGTGGAAAAGAAAGGGATGACACTGCGGAGGCTGCGAGGTCCAGCTAGGACCATGCCTGGGAGGCCAAAGCATGACCACGTGGGGTCAGCAAACCTACAGGGCCCTAAGAGGCACCCACCGGCTGATCACACCCTTAGACGTGCGCTACTGTTTCTGCAACCTGTTAGAAAAATCAGACACGTCTGCTGAGGGAACACTGATTCAGAGCAGCTAGTCATGTTCTGGTCTTCCCAAGTGAGGAGCACCGTTGTCTTCATGGGGCTCTGATTCATTCTGGGATGCTGGAAAGGAAAGGGTGAGAAACTCCTCCTGCAGACAGTGGTCAGCCTTCAGGGGGTCTGATCTGCATGTTAGGAAAATAGCTCAGATGTTCTGAGGGGGCAGGTGAGGGACAAGGTGAGGGAGAAGGGTGAGATTGTTAGGCCAAGGTGCTGGCGGGGTGCAGAGCATGGCAGCGTTTTGACAGATAGTTCTGGGATGGGGTCCGGAGGACTTTGTGATGTTTGAATGATGACTCTCAGTAGCATTGCTGTTAATCAGGAGGGGAAACAAAAGCCAAGTAGGGGGCCACAGCCGACTGGGGAGTCGTGTTTAGAACAGTGGGGTGTGAAATCCTGGCAGACATACAGATAGAGGTGTCAGTAAGTTGTTGGAAACTGGGGTCTGAAGCTCAGGCTGATGGTTGGGATTAAAGGTGCCTTTTGGAGCCATTACATATGTGTGGGAGTGGATGCGATTCTCCAGGAGGCTCTGCTCTGGTGGCCAAATCCTGGAGGGCACCAGCAATGGGGCCAGGGAGCCCAAAGTATCAATTAGGAAAGCGGTTTGAGAGGAAGGCCAGTGGAGAGCAGGAGTGTGCATTGGGAGAAGCAGTACTTGGCTGTCACACCTAGTAGACCGTAGTATTGATCCTGGACAGAGCCATGGCCATGGGTGGACAGCAGGGGCCTGTCCAGCAGGGCAGAGCAGACGGGAGCTGAAGAGGCCTTTAGCTTTGGCTCTTGGCAGGGAGAGAATCCTCCTGACACAGACCCTTAAGATGCTGGGCAGGGGCTCCCAAACCTGAGCAGTGTGAGCATCCCTGGAAGACTTGTGAAAGTGACTGGCGGGTCCACCAGGGTCCCACCTGGGAACATGCATTTCCCAGTGTTGCTAATGCCATGAGGCCACACTTTGAGAACCCCTGCTGGTGGATGGTGCAGGAATCGCCTCCGCTGCTGACAGGCAGGCATGTTCTGGGCACCCTTAGCCTCCCCAGGCACCCACCCACCCTCCTCCCACTACTCCTTAATAGCATGTTTGTTGAATGCTTTCCTTGTGTCTAGCCTGGGGCTTGAACCATGACTCAGAGAGGCACTGGGCAGGGGCCTCGTGGAGCTGCAATTGTTGGACAGCTCAGATCATCAGAAAGCTCTCTCCTGTGTTAGAAATAGAGTGGGCTTCATTTGGAATCATTCAGAGTATAGAACAAGAAGTCGTTTTTCACGTAACTTTTCATAAACAGCGAGGTGGTCCCATGGTTTACACTGACCACCCTGTCATAACTGCCTGGGGGATTATAGTGGGAGCCAGTGTCTCCCACAGGAGGGAATCAGCCACTCATGAGAAGGCTGCTGGTAGGTAGCAGGGTTCTGCCAAGGGGAGTTCTTCCATAGGACACCCTGTTACAGTCTCAAGTCAACCCCTATTCCTAGAACCTCTCTTCTTGCTTGTTTTTAACAAGGTTTTGACTGATGACAACTTAAACTGCATGCTTAGACCTGCCTTGCAACATCCCATTGTCATCCTTTTCTCCCCTGAAACGTTCAGGTTGATGGCTTTACACACCTCTACACTCTGATCTTAAGACCAGATCTGACTTATGAAGTGAAAATTGATGGCCAAGCAATTGAATCTGGCAGCATCGAGTATGACTGGAACTTAACATCACTGAAGAAGATGGAGAAGTCTTTAGCAGAGTCCAAGGACAGGGAACAGGGGAGAGAGGACAAACTCCAGGTGAGGACTTTTCCCGAACAACTCCAGAAAGTGTGCAAGTGACGTATGTGAGTACCAGGTCCTGTACGATTGCTGTGTGGCTGGTAACCATGATGACAGCAGTATAACAATCAAAATGCCCTCCCCAGCACATATGCGGTGAAACCAGCCTCAGATCTGCACGCTTCAAGGTACGTATTGTAAAAGAGTTTTATAATATTCATTATCAAAGCAAGTAAGGTTTGTTCTTTTCAACCAATGTTAAATGCATCGGCAACCTCTTTAAAAATGACTTTTTTGCTATTCTGCATTTGAACATGAAGTATGTTTTTGGTCTCACCCTTGTGACTGACGACCAAGAATCAGTTGACATAACGCTATGTAAGAGTTTCCTAGGGCTGCTGTGGGTGGTTTAAAGGACAGAAATGTATTAGCTTATATTTCTTGAAGCCAGAAGTTAGAAATCAATGTCAGCAGGGTCGCACTCTCTCTGAAGCCTGTAGGGGAGGATGCTTCCTTGCTTCTTCCAGCATCCATTGCTTCTAGGTGTTCCTTAGACACATCTGGTAGACACATCACTCCAATCTCTGCCTCCACCTCCACATGGCCTTCTCCTCCTCTTGTGTCTCTTCTGTCTCTTCTAAAGACATTTGTCATTGGATTTAGGGCCACCTGAATAATCCAGAATGATCTGCCTCGTGATCCTTACCTTAATTACATCTGCAAGGACCCCTTTTTTTCCAAATAAGCTTACATTTCCAGATTCCCAGATTTAGGACGTGGACAAATCTTTTGGGGAACTACCTACTACAGCTACCTTTCTTTTTCAGTTTATGTTTGTTTATTGTTGGAACATTTTGTTTTGAACATCAAACACTGCACCAAATTCTGAGCTATTTATCTGAAAACAGTCGCCTCTGCCATCGCTAATAGTACTGGGCTGATGTTTACAATTAATTTCTGACAAATTATAATTTATTAGAGGCATTGCTATCTAATAATCAAATATTTCATCTAATAATAATCAAATACTTCATCATAGACCGAATGAAATTATTAAATCAAAATGGCATCTTGTTTAGACTACTAAATTTTTTTTGGCAGTCCTTTTTTTTTCTTAATCAAAAGCTAAGTTCCATGAATTTGGAATCCATGGTGTCCAATCCATGAGAATGCCTTCAGATTAGGGTAAAACCCCAATCATATAAGGGTTTTTCTTCATTTCTCAAGGAAGAAAAAAGAAAATGCAAAGTTTCCACCTTCCTTTCTTACCTTCAAAGCAAACCAGAAAAGGAGTTTTTACCTGGAAAGAGCACTTAGTTTAAACAAGGCACAGAATGGCAAAGAAACTGACCCTGCAGTCCCCACACTGCACAGTAGGAGACACGGGTGTTGGGACTGAAATCCTAGCCTCCTCTGGACTGCGAGGAAGTGGCCCAGCAGAGCAGGTGGAGACAGGTCTCCACAGGGGCCAAATCGCCCTTTCAGAAGCTCTTTTTCAAACTGGCTGTGTTTTGTCCCTGTGTTCACTTCTGTGTGAGCTCCTAAATAAATTAGTTCCACAATTCTAGGGAGCCCCTGGGATTGAATTGTAACCATTTTCTGGATCCCCAACACAGCAGGGGCTCATGGTTAGCCAGTTGGGGTCTGGGCAAAAATCAGTAGGAGGGGCGAATAGCTCCCATGTATTCACTGTTGAGAAGTTAGAGTATCATGGAAAAGCAGCTCCCTAAGTAAAAAAAGTTTACAGTTTTTCAGTGCTAGAAGAGAAAATACCATTGTACATTTTATGCTTTTATATGTGTTTATCGGAATATTAATCTGTAGGAACTTTTTCTCATCCATTCATTTATTCAACAATTATTTATTCAATACCTACTAAGCCATGTACACATATATAGACATGTATATATATGTATGTATATATGTATGTGTATAAATGTGTATATCTGTATACTTTTTAATATATTATCTATAGGTGTGTGTATATAAACGTGTGTATATATGCATATGTATAAATGTGTATATGTGTGTGTATATAAATGTGTATATACATATACATGTATATGAGGTGTGATAAAAATATACGGTGAATGTTTAAATTAAAAAAGCTTATTACAGTAAAAAACACATTGCCATTAATCCCCCTAAAAATACTCTCCTTCGCTTTGAACACACTTATCCCACCATTCTTGCCACTTTGTGAAGCAATTCTGGAAGTCCTCTTTCGTGAGTGTCTTTAGTTGCACTGTCATGGCTGCCTCGATGTCCTGAATCGATTCAAAACGTTTACCTTTCATGGCCATTTTGACTTTAGGGAAGAGCCAGAAGTTTCATGGTGCCAGATCCGGTCAATGAGGTGGATGAGGACTCATCGTAATGTTTTTATTTGATAGAAGTTACCATAACAGTGATGTATAACACAGAGCCTTTCCATTGTGATAAAAAAAATACAGTTAATGCTGCTGCCGAGTGCCATCCAGTGGAAAGGCAGGCATCTTCAGTATGGGAAGTGATGTGTGGAACCTTAGTAACAGTGTGGGACAAATTTCAACTTGTTCGGTGGAGTCAGTCGGGTGTACACTATGGTTGAGGCAAAGTATTTTAAAGTGTGCCGTGAATCATCCTCCATCATGACAACGCTCCGTGTCACACATCACTTCTGGTATGTGGCAATTTCTGTCCAATAAAAACATTACAGTATGTCCTCATCCACCTTATTCACCGGACCTGGCACCATGAGACTTCTGGCTCTTCCCAATGTCAAAATGATTCAGGTAATCGAGGAAGCCACGACAGTGCAACCAAAGACACTCATGAAAGAGGACTTCCAGAACTGCTTCAGAAAGTGGTGAGAACGATGGGATAAGTGTGTTAGAAATGAGGGGGAGTATTTTGAGGGAGGATTAATGGCAATTTGTCTTTTACTGTAATAAGTTTTTTTTTATTTAAACATTCACCATATTGTTTGATCACCCTTTGTATTGTTTATATGTGTGTATATATATATATATGTATATATCTATGTATATGTATATGTGTGTATATATGTGTATTCTGTGAGTGTGTGTGTGCATATATATACTAAATAATAATTGCTTTTCTCCTGTTACCCAGTAGTCCCCAGGTATAAATCTTCGGATGTTTCTTAGTTGTCCAGCATCTTTCTGAAACAGTCTATGTGTGACTGTGATGTAGGACAGACTTGACCTAACCATCAGTGAATGTGTGGCACTGTCTCCCACCATCACTTTTTGCCTGTCATTTTACCTTTAGCCACTGTTTTGAGTTTTCCACACTGCTGTTCCTCTCAACAGCATGGGGAAAGTGCTGAGTCACATGGAGGGTTAAGGAGAAAATCCCAGCAATGTGTGGTCCTGAGATCCCCAATGGGATTGGGGACCCTAGGCACTTGGCCCTTTGACCACCACATTGAGAAAGAGATGGGGAAACAGCAACTAGGGTCAAGGGCCTGTCCCTGCCTCCTGGTAGCTAAGAAGTTCCTTTCTCAAATCTGAGAATCTATTTTTTTTCTCACATGTATTTTAAGGACTGGGAGAAGCATTTTCTGGATGCTGGTGCCAGCAAACCGAGTGACTGGAACAGCGAACTGGATGGGGACTGGCAGGCTCCCATGCTGCAGAAGCCTCCCTACCAGGTGTGTGGTCTTCCTCCTGTGCTGTCCTCAGCTGCCCCCTCCCCGCCCGCATCACTCGGGACCAGCATGTATGGTTTGTTATTGCAGGACGGCCTGAAACCAGAGGGTATAGAGAAGGACGTTTGGCTCCATCAAAAGATGAAAAACACCAACTATTTGACCGAATATGACCTCTCAGAATTTGAAAACATTGGTGCTATTGGGCTGGAGCTTTGGCAGGTCACTGGGTTTTTAATTTGCTTTAGTTTAATAACTCTGAACTTTAGCTTAAACTCCTTAATTCGCATAGCTGTTATTCCTTGAGCTCCTGCTGTGTGCCTGGCACCCATACCTGGACCCAAGACATAGAGCCGTGGCCAAAACAGATGCCCTTCCCACCCTCTGGGCACTTCCTGTTCGCCTCCCTGCCCCCTGGGAATTGGTCACTCCTCTGCTCAGAGCTGACCTAGGGATCCATCAGCTTTAGGACAAGACTGCAGATCTTGATGCAGCGGGTTCGTGTTGGAGCCTCAGATTCTGTATTTCTTCTACCAAGCTCCCTGGTGGTGCTGACACTGCCTGTCCAGAGCCCACACGTTGCACAGTAAGGCTATTGAGCTATGGTTCTCGAACACTGCTAAGTGCCTGAGGTACTGGGGCGCTCCTCAAAGTTTCAATGCCCAGGCAGTACCCAAACCAGTTAAGTCAGTATGCCTAGGCCTAGGACCAGGAATCAGGAGTTTCTAAAATGTTCTTGGTGATCCCATTCGGAGCCAAGTTTGAGAAGCAGTGCCCTGGAGGGAACGGACATTCGAGAGATGGGTTTAAGCATGTGCTACCCTTGAGAGCTAATCACTGTCATAGTACTGAGCAAAATACAATTGTTTCTTGGTGGGAAGTTGTTCCATTGCTCACATCAGTAAAGAAGGCCTTATTTTCATCCACAGGTGAGATCTGGAACCATCTTCGATAACTTTCTGATAACAGATGATGAAGAGTATGCTGAGAATTTTGGCAAGGCCACCTGGGTTGAAACCAAGGTATGATGATAACAATGACCTTTTCTGTCATTATTCATTTGTTTCTGTACGTGAGTCTACCATATTGGAAAGGGCTTGATGAATTTTTACTAATGAACATCCCACCCAGACCAAGACTCAGAAAGCTACCAGGGCTCTGGAAGCCTCCTCACACCCCCTCCCATCAGGCACCTGCTTCTAAAGAAACCACCATTTCATCACCGTAGAGCAATTTGACCTCCTTTTGAAATTCATATAAATGGAGCCATCCAATATTTACTCGTTCAGGCAGTGTTGTGAGATGCATTCATATTATCACAGGCAGTAGTAGCTCATTCTTCCTGTGAGAATATTCCAGAAGGTGTGTACCCATTCTCTGTCAATGCAGCTTTGGGTGGCTTCCAGCTGTGGCCTCATGCATAAAGCTGTTGTAGTCATTTCTGTACATGCCTTTCAGTGACCACAAGCCCAGGAGTAGACAGGCTGGGTTACAGGATCCCTCACAGCAAAACAGTTCTCAATATGTTGTCCTATTTTATATTCCCTGGACTTTCTCATTTAGACTCTGAGGCCTCCTTTCATTACCCATTCACTGGTCAGCTGGTTGAACGACAGGGACCCATGTGCTCTGGGAACAGAAAGAAGGGGGTGTATTCATTTCCTAGGGCTGCCATAACAAATCACTGCAAACTGGCTGGCTTAAAGCGACACAAACTTACTCCCACAGTTCTGGAGGCTAGAGGTCCAAAATCAGTGTAAGTGGGGGCCGGCCGAGTGGCTCAGTTAGTTAAGAGCCCACTCAAGAGTTTGAGCTCTGAGCAACAGCGGTTCGAGTCCAGCCCGAGCTGAGCAGCTGCTGAGCTGCCAAAAGGTAGCAGGATGGCTCAGGAAAAAAAAAAAAAAAAAATCAGTGTCAGTGGGCTAT